TTCTGACAAATATTGGAACAAAAGAAATGAACTGCAAGGGCATAGAGACTTCTCTCGGCGGAGATTTTTAATAAAAGGAGTTAGAATTACAGAAACTGAACTGCGCCCTTTTTTTGTACCTGGGGAATTCCGTCTCTCCAGGCAGCCAGGGGTAGGAAGCGCAGCGGGTATTAGGAATAGAGAAATAAACACCGAATCCTTGTCATGGAGGCACAGTGAGTCCGCAGGGCGCGGGCGTGTGAAGGTCATGCGAACAGGTCATTGTAATACAGCACGTTGCACCAGCGCAGAACGGGACGGGGGTGGGGCGGACAGAGGTCATGGGAGTACAGGGACCACGGCGTTCGCCTGCCTGGTAGCATCAGGGGACCCGGACCCTTACGGGTGAGCTGCACAATCCCATAGGCGTGTGGTCCTATAGCAGTGATGGCGAACCTATGACACGCGTGTCAGAGGTGACACGCGAACTCATTTTTTTGGTTGATTTCTCTTTGTTAAATGGCATTTAAATATATAAAATAAATATCAAAAATATAAGTCTTTGTTTTACTATGGTTGCAAATATCAAAAAAATTTCTATATGTGACACGGCACCAGAGTTAAGTTAGGGTTTTTCAAAATGCCGACACGCCGAGCTCAAAAGGTTCGCCATCACTGTCCTATAGTGACACCTTGCTCTCAAAGAAACCTCAGTCCCAAATGCAAAAACTATTTGAAGAATGACTTGAATCTTTCCTTTTTTTAAAAAACTATGTATTTTTTTATTTCAGAGAGGAAGGGAGACAGGGAGAGAGAGAGAGATAGAAACATCAGTGATGAGAGAGAATCATGGATCGGCCGCCTCCTGCACACCCCCTACTGGGGATCGAGCCCGCAACCCGGGCATGTGCCCTGACCGGTTTCATAGGTCGATGCTCAACCACTGAGCCACGTCGGCCGGGCTTGATTCTGTCTTGAGAAGACATAAAAAAGGGGATGTTAAAACGATAAGACACATCCAAACCACCTTAGACTTGATTTTCCCCATCTTTTTTCGTGTGAGCAGCCTTTACCTACATAAGTAGAGTTTTCCAATCATCCCACCTCAACACGAACCCTCAAAACTCGATGACATATACATTGGTGAATAGCTCCTTTCCGCTTCCGCCTTTTGGCCCGGTCACTCCAGGGAAAGAAAGATCTAGAATCCTTCCTCCTTCCAGGGTCGGTCGGAGCGGGTGGGGAGGATGTGGAAACTGGTCGTTGAGGAGCTTTGCTTATACCCGATCACGTGCTTTTTTATTTTCACTTATTTATTTTCAATATGTTTGTATTGATTGCAGAGAGGAAAGGAGAGGGAGAGAGAGATGGAAACATCCATGATGAGATGTTTCATCATTGATTGGCTGCCTCCCGCACGCCCACTACTGGGGACCGGGCCTGCAACCCGGGCATGTGCCCTGACCGGGAATCGAACTGTGACCTCCTGAGTCATTGATCGACTCTCAACCACTGAGCCACGCCGGCTGGGCTCCTCCTGAGTGTTTAAGAAATTAATAGCAACTAAAAGGTGTCCCAAAATTCACGCAAGATTTGAATTTTGCGTGAGCATTAACAACAACAACAACAACAAAATAAAAGCCTAATTTTACTTGGTTGATTGAATCAGATTCTAATATCTGTTGCCCTTTGATTTCAATCCCTTCAATTTGATCAGCATTACCAAGTACCAATGATGGCCCAGGAGCAGGGACAATGAAGACCAATGAAGACCACGGCTTTGCGTCTGTGCCAGCAAAGCCGTGGAGGCCGTTTACCCGCTGTGCTATTCCATATATAACCCTATACTGTATACTTTATGAATCAATAGAAAATTTACAATTTTTAATGATAAACCTTTGTTTTCTATCAAAATTACTTCTTGCGTGAATTTTGGGACACCCT